ATAGTGGGGTCCCTGTCCGCTTCTCACCACCCCACAGCCTGTGCCTGTCTGACAGGTCACATGGCCCCAGAGACCCCAAAGTCAATAGAAGGCAGCAGCGGGGTGCAGGCAGGTTGCATTTTTCTTGGTGTTGTGGTCTCTGTGAAGGTGAGAAGGCCGGCTACAGGGCGGATAAGGAGCCTGGACACCTGGGTGCACAGAAGCAGCTGTGGGGGCTCAGGGGCCAGCCCAGGCCAATGCCACTCTGGCAGATGAGGGGTGCCACCCTGCTTTGTCTTCTCATGGCCAAAGTGAGGCTTCATTCAGCCCGGGCAGAAGAGTGTTTAGAGGCTAACGCGAGTCATGGGTGAGAAATCGCTGGCAGGTGGTAGGTGTGGGGGAGGGCAGCTTGGATTGCTGGTCAGTCCACACAGGGTGACTGTCCCTGGACCTGCACTTGGAGTAGCCCTGAGAGCTGCTTGGTTTACAGATGATCCACCTGGTCAGGTTCACGGCCCCTAGGCAGTTAGCAGTCATGGTGGAGGGGGAGGTGAGTGGTGGTGCAGGGTCCCCACCCGCCACATCTAGCACAAGTGCCCTCATACAGAGGGATCCCAGCTACCCAGCACAGGGGACACGACTAGTCTCTGCAACAGAGGGTCAGGGCAGGTGGCCTCTTAAGTGGGGCCTCCTGGGGGTCTCAGATCTTCCACATTGGGAAAAAAGCGGCAGATGGGCTATTTGTGGCTGCCCTCCCTTTTTGGAGGCACCTCTTCCTGCCCTCCAGGCCCTAGGCACAGGTCTGTACCATATCTCCAGAACCAGGGAGGGTCAGAACCGGAGGCGCCTATACCAGACTACAGGTGCGGCAGAGGTGCCTGGTGCGGGAGCAGCCCCAGCCAGGAGGGACTTGGCCCTGGATTTGGGATGAAGAGTTGAGTGTGGGGCAGTGGAGGTGGGTGGCCAGGCAGAAGGGGCCACAGTTTTATCCCCATGGTCCAGGGTGCAAACACTGACTCCTTCTGCTACCAGCTGTGCAGCCTAACAGTGATTTACTCTAACTGGGTAGTAGTTAGCTGTGACCACTAGTAGCTAATGGTTAGTACCGAGTCACCATCTTCTAACCCAGTGTTTCTCACCTGGGGTGCTCCTGCCCCCATAGTGCTTCACCTCCATAGTGCCCAGGGTGGTCCCGATGTCAGCAGTGGCAAGTCTGGGCCTCAGTCTTCCCAGCTTTAAAGTAGGGTTCTGCTTTGCTCCATGGGTTACCGCGACTGTCTCATGGGCGTTAACCAAGGTGGCAGGAAGTGATGCTGGTGGCTGGGGCCTCAGGGGCAGCTTTGGGGAAGGAAGTGAAGGCTCTTCTGGTCTCTGGATGGGCCTCCTCGCTCCAGAGCACAGGTGGCTTCCTGCCCCATCGCCAGGCAGCCTGTCCGCGGTGAGCGTTCCCTCTGTCACATGTGAGTGCCTACATCTTTCATCCCGTATGGTCCTCTGTGTTTGTGCTGTCACCTCAAACAGTAAACAAATTTTACAGGCAGTGCCAGCCTCAGCTTGAACCCAGAGGGAAATGGCCTCAGTTCTTTGCGGTTCCCACGGCAGCAGTTCAGCCCACACTTGCTCTGTCTCCTCACCCTGCTTTAAAAATAACAGATTTCCTGGCTCACCATTCATGTACCAGACTCTCCGCCTTTCACGTGTGCATTCCACTGTTTTCATCCCATTCACCACCTCTCTCCAGTTCAGAACATTCTGTCACCTCAGAAGAAACCCTGTCCCCATCAGCAGTCACCCCATCCCTTGCCCCAGCCCCTGACAACCAAGAACCCACTCTCTGTGTCTGTGGATCTGCCTGTTCTGGACATTTCCCATCAGTGGAATCACACCCTGTGTCCTTCCTTCTGTGTCTGCTCCTCTCACTGAGCATCGTGCCCTCAGGGTCTGTCCACATGGTAGCGAGTTTCAGGGCTTCTCTCCTTTTCTTGGCTGAGTGATGCTTCCATGTGTGGATCAGCTCACCCACTACTGGGCATTTGGGTGTCTCTACCTTTTGGTTGTTAGGACGCATGCTGCTGGACACACGTATGTACAAGTTTTTGTGTGGACATGTGTCGTCCACATGTGTCATCACTTGGATGGACACTTCGGAGAGAGCTGCTGGTGAGATGGTAACTGCGTTTTTTTAACTGCTGGGCTGTTTTCCACAGCAGCCACCCCATTTTACATTACCCCAGCAGTGCAGAAGGGTTCCTATTGACTGTCCTTTTTGATTACTCCATCCTCATTGCGGGTGGCAGGTCCCTCCTCTCCTCACTGGGCTCCCTACATCTGGCTCCATCCCCGGATGCTCAGCCTCTGTGTTTTGCATAGTTCTTGCTGCCTCGAATCAAACTTCCGGTACCCACAGTGTCAAGTGGGGCCCGGAAGAATGAGCAGGCTTCACCTACCAGTGGCGAGGACAGATGGTCCCCAGCCTGTGTGTAACTAGGGCTCAAGTGACCCAGTTGTGTCAACTGTGAGTTACCCTCCCTGGCATTCCTTCAGATGTTCTGCGTAGCCTCTGTCTGAGTTTCCAATGGCCGATGTAACAAATCACCACAGACTTTGTAGCCCAGACCACACAGATTATTCTCTTACAGTTCGAGAGGTCAAGAGTCCAGCTCAGGCCTTTTTCAGAGCTAAAAGCCAGGCGTGGGCAGGGCCGGTTCCTCTGGAGGCTCCTGGGGATCATCGGCTCCTGCCTTTTCCAGCTCCTAGAGGCACTGCATCCCAGGTTCGCAGCCCCTCCCTCCATCCTCACAGCTAGCAGAGCAGCATCTCCCGTGTCTCTGCCTCTGACTCTGTTAGCAGGCCCTGTGGACATGCAGAGGACCCAGAAGGGGGAAGGAGGTAGTGTCAGGGTTTTGCCTGCCCCACAGGGAGAGGCGCTGGACCCCTCTACAGTCCATGCTCCAGAAGGAGTACTCTGAAGGCTCAGCTCACCGCCATCCCTCTCCCTTTAGACCAGAGCAACCTCTTTCTTTTTAGATTCTCATAACTCAAGAGTCAGAATCATTCCTGGCTCTACGGGCAGGACACCCTGGTTAGAACACTGGTGTGAGCTCTTCACATTATCCATCCAGCCTCTGGAATTAACCCAGAGGCTCACGTTCTCAAGGCGGCCACTGAAGGCTGGGCCAGGAGGCCCAGGCCAATGGGGGTCACTCTGATTTCTGGCCCGCCGACGTGTAGAAGAGCCAGGCCTGCAGGAGATGCTGGGCTCCAGGATGTGCTGGGTCGTGACTCAGCACTTACTAACCGCATGCTGAGGTCCTTCCCCTCCTGGTCGCCCCATCTGGACCATGGACTTGGGTGCGGACATGGGTGAACTGGGCTGAGGTGACCAGATCAATCTGGCTGCCTCAGGCCCATCCCCCGGCACAGCTTCTCCGTCACTGAGGTCAGCCTGGTGGCATGACGTTGTCCCCTGGGGGTGACAGGATCCCTGTGCAAGGACATGCAAACTCCTTTCAGACATGGGATGTCCAGAAGTTTCTGATTGTGAGTGTAGGCTGTTCGAAGCCCCTCAGTTTGTGGCAGTTTGCTGCACAGAGTGCTTGGTCTGGAGGGTCAAGCTCCAAGGGCCAAGAAACTGACTCCAGAGGGGTTTATTACAACATTACGTGTATATTACAACATTACTTGTAAGTGGTTTTTCATCTCACCAGGAGTGTGGCTGCGTGTGCTGGAGCCCGGCCTGGGCAGTGCTTCCGCTTCCCCCAACCCGGGCCCACTTCCCCCTCTGCTGCTGCTCCTGGGCGAGCTCCAAGGATACCCCCACCCCACCCAATCCTGGCCAGGTCCACACTCCTGGGAAAGCATATGTACCCCAGCCAGAGATGGAGATAAGGGGCGGTGGGCCAGTGTGGCCACCGGAGTGGTGATGGTGAAGGAGCATCACCAAGGGATGGTGACTGGTCCCAAGTGTGAGCCCGACCCAGGCTCCTAGTGCTTGATTTCACCCTTTTATACCCCCTGAGGTGGGTTCTACTACTCCCAATGTGACAGGGAAGACAGGCAGAACAGAGGCTTGGGAGGGGCCTGTTTATCAGAGCAGGGCCATGGCAGTGCAACCCCCGCACTAGGGCCTTGCCCCCAAAATGAGTGGCATCTGTCACAAGACCGGACAACTTGTGGAGGCATCTTCACTTAGCTGGTGCATCAGGGTGGGTAGTGTCCCCCAGATTCATATCTGCTCCTTGGACGTGGAGCTGTGCAGATGTTAGGCCAGAGAGCTGAGGGCACATGGGGTTATGGAGGGCCCTTGTCCAGAGATGAGACTGGGACACGAGACACATGGGGAGCAGAGGCAGCAGGAGTGCATGCCCTTCCAGCCCCGGAGCCCAGAAGCCCCACAGTCAGAGTGTGGGTAGAGCTAGTTCCTCCTGGGGCTCCCTCCCAGCTCCACCAGTGCCACTGGTCCTTGGCATCGCCTGGTTTGTAGACCCATCACTCCATCTCTGTGTCCATCATCACACGGCCTCTTACAGGGACATTCATCACTGGATTTGGGGTGCCCGGATAGTCCAGGAATAGGGCTATCCAAGATCCTTAATCAATCTACAAAGATTCTCTTTCCAGATAAGATTCATTCGCAGGTCCCTGGCTATGGGCATCTCTTCACAGAGGCTGCCACCGAGCCTGAGGGGCCCACCCTCTGCCAGCATGTGGGGGCCCGCCCTCAGGTGGCATGTGGGGCCAGCAGCTTTCTCTTTACCAAAAGCGTCTGGGCACAGAGGGGATGTGCCAGGGCAGTTCTGTGTGCCCTCTTGTTGAAACTCAAAACCACAAGTCCCAGGAGCATCCCCAGTCTGCCCGCTGCTGCTTCTAGAACAAGGTTTCAAGAAGGGTCATGATGTTTCCTTTTTGTGTGTTCCAGGTCTGAGGGAGCCCTGGGGACCTGGTGACATACCTGTCGTGAGCGTCCTGCCCAGCCCTCCCCTCAGGCACCTCGTGGGGCGTGTCCCGAGAGCGCGGCCAAGATGTCCAACCCCTTCCTGAAGCAGGTCTTCAACAAGGACAAGACCTTCCGGCCCAAGCGCAAGTTCGAGCCAGGCACCCAACGCTTTGAGCTGCACAAGAAGGCGCAGGCCTCGCTGAACGCAGGGTTGGACCTGAAGCTGGCCGTGCAGCTGCCCGCTGGCGAGGAGCTCAACGACTGGGTGGCCGTGCATGTGGTGGACTTCTTCAACCGCGTCAACCTCATCTACGGCACCATCAGTGACGGCTGCACCGAGCGCTCCTGCCCCATCATGTCAGGTGGCCCCAAGTACGAGTACCGTTGGCAGGATGAGCACAAGTTCCGGCGGCCCACGGCACTGTCGGCCCCCCGCTACATGGACCTGCTCATGGACTGGATCGAGGTGCAGATCAACAATGAGGACGTCTTCCCCACCAACGTTGGTGAGTCTCTGTGCTTTCATGTTCTTTTAGGGTCAACTTTATCGGGATGGAGTCCACACACCACTACATCCACCCATTTAAAGTGCATGGTTCAGGGGCTTCCCTGGTGGTCCAGTGGTTAGTACTCCATGCTTCTGCTTCATGGGGCACGGTTGGGGAACTAACACCTCACATGATACATGGTAAGGCAAATTAAAAAAACGCAGTTCAGTGGTGTTATAGTACATTCACAGTGTCATGCAGCTGTCAGCTGTATCTAAATCCATCACCCTGGAGGCTTCCCTGGTCCAGTGGTTAAGAATCTGCCTGCCAATGCAGGGGACACGGGTTCCATCCCTGGTCCAGGAAGATCCCACATGCTGAGGGGCAACTAAGCCTGTGCCCCACAACTACTGAGTCTGTACTCTAGAGCCCATACTCTGCAACAAGCGAAGCCTGCATACTGCAGCTGGAGAAAGCCCACGTGCAATAATGAAGACCCTGTGCGGCCAAGGGGAAAAAAATCCATCACCCTAAAAGAAGCCCCATCTCCTTCAGCAGTCACCCGCACCACCTCTCCAACCCCTGACAACCAGGAACCCACTCTCTGTGTCTGTGGCTTTGCCTGTTCTGAACGTTTCCCGTTGGTGGAATCACACCCTGTGTGTCCCGTGTCTGCTTCTCACACTGAGCATCGTGTTCTCAGGGTCCATCCACATGGTAGCAAGTGTCAGGGCTTCTCTCCTTCTCATGACTGAGTGATGCTCTTGTGTGTGAAGGGACACATTTTGCTTCAAGCAAAGGCTTCCCTGGTGGCTCAGATTTTAAAGAATCTGCATGCAGTGCAGGAGACCCAGGTTCGATCCCTGGGAGAAGGGAATGGCTACCTCCTCTAGTATTCTTGCCTGGAAAATTCCATGGAGAGAGGAACTTGGCAGGCTACACTCCATGGGATAGCAAAGAGTCAGACCCAACTGAGCAACTAACACATATAGTTAAAGGATCTTGAGATAGAGAGACACTTCGGGATTATCTGAGTGATCCCTAAATGTCATCACAAGGTCCTAATGAGGGGGTAGAGGGAGACTCGTTACCCAGGGGGGCAGAAGGCAGTGAGGCGATGGGAGGGAGAAGGGTCCATAAGCCCAGAAAAGACAGGGCCGGGTTCTCCCTGGAGCCTGTGCAGGGCCCAGCTCTGCCTGCAGCTCAGGGCACCGTGTGGACTCTGGCCTCAGATCCTGGGAGAGAATTGGTGCTAGTTGTCCTGAGCCACTGAGCGGCCCCAGGAGACAGCAGACATTCTCACGTTCACCAGGGCTGCTTGGTGTCCTGGTGGCTGACTGCTGAGGAGGCCTCAGGCCTGGCTCTCGGCTGCTGGCGTGCTATGTGCTTCATTGAGTTTCTCACCCCAAGGCCTCACTCACTGTCTGTACAGTGAACCATGTTGACTCTGGCAAGGGGCTTCCAGGGACCCACCTGGGAAAAGGCCATCCCATACTTATCACTTTCCCGAAACAGATTCCTGGGCAGTCTCCTGTTAGGTTGCCTGGTCCAAGTCTACACCTTCTCCCTGTCATCCTGAGTCACTGCTTTGCTAGGACCATCTGAGGCCCCGCAGCTCTTGAGGGGTCCACCTCCTAGAACTCAGACCTGCCTTGAGTCAGTGCTCACCACCAGAAAGGAGAGCATGAGAAGAGCAAGAGAAATGAACTTGGCAGATGGTTAGGGGCTGCCTGGCCCAGGCCATATCTTCCAGCCCTGTCCACAGACCCCAGGGCCAGCCTCACCCCTCAGCCTGGTTCCACCCCCACCCCGGGTGGACTGAAGTGCTTCTCTTTGCTTGTCTGCAGTCTTCGTGGATGGCAGGTGCACCTTAGATGCCCTGTGAACATGGTTTTTCCCAAGAGTCAAGTATTCTTGGACTTCTCTGATGGTGAAGAATCCACCTGCCAATGTAGGAAACACGGGTTCAATCCCTGGTCCGGGAACATCCCACATGCGGCAGAGCAACTAAGTCTGTGTGCTTCAACTACTGAGCTCATGCGCTTAGAGCCTGTGCTCTGCGACAAGAGAAACCACTGCAATAAGAAGCCTTGCACACACAACTCAAGAAAACCTGCGCTCAGCAACAAAACCCTAGCACAGCCAAAAATTTTAAAAATTAGTTTAAAAAAGGGTCGAGCATTCCTTCTCTTTAGCTCTTTTCTCCTGTTGGATGGAGTCAGGAAACCCAGAGGCCTCACTGATGCTGAACGAGCCTTCTGCAAGGGCACATCCCCAGATACCCGACCTGGAACACCAATGCCATCAATGGTATGGGACACGCATACACACAGGAGGGAGCTGGCCAGGAGCATGATGGTCAGTCTTAGAGAAGGTCTTTCCCATTTGCCTCATGCCTCCACACCCTGGGACCTGCCTCTGGTGTGAGAAACCCCCATTTGGTCTGGTTGTCCCTGACTGGCTGCTGACACTGCCCCTCGAGCTGCTGAGCACACGGATCCTGAGCACCTACTTGCATGTCTTTGGGGATTTGCTCACCAACCAGCAGCTGCCATTCCATTTTCTGTGAGTGTGTCCCAGAGCATTGTGGCTGTCCACAGGCTGGGTGGTCGCCAGCCCTGGAGCACCTCTCGTGAAGGACAGGACCTGTCTGTCCTGGTCCCGGGCAGCCTCTGGTAGCGCTGGTCAGTTGGTATGAGGGCATAGGATCTTTCCCCTGGGCCAAGAAAGACACGAGGTGGGGAGGGGCATGTGGGCGTAGCCCATGAATGTGCCTGATGCCAGAGGGTCACCACCAGCTGAGTCAACAAATCTTAGCACGATTTAAAAAAATTTTAAAAATTGAAAAATAGAAATAAAATGTATTAAATTCAGTATAGAAAAACAGGGTGCAATGTAGTGTGTGTATGCAATTAAGTTAGGATGTGTACATTCAAATATAAGCAATACCATGAAGCATACTTAGATCTAGCGATATAAATATATTAAGGGAAAATTATCAAAGTCCAGAACATAGGTTTTTATGCATTGCCCAGTTGTAATCCAAAAAATAAATGTAACCAGAAATAGACACAGAAGCCTGTAAGCCACCTGGAAGCGGGATGTCAGGTCCACTGCCGGCCAGATGCGGAGGGTGGGCAGGGTAGGACGTCTGGGCCTGCAGGACTGCCCCTCCCCGGCCCCGGGCGCTGTCTGGGGCAGAGAGGTACAGTTCCCGGAGGGAAGGGGAAGGGAAGGGAAGCTGAGCCATGCCCGTCGCCCCGCAGGCACGCCGTTCCCCAAGAACTTCCTGCAGGTGGTGAAGAAGATCCTGTCCCGGCTCTTCCGCGTGTTCGTGCATGTGTACATCCACCACTTCGACCGCATTGCGCAGCTAGGTTCAGAGGCTCACGTCAACACCTGCTACAAGCACTTCTACTACTTTGTCACCGAGTTCGGCCTCATCGACACCAAGGAGCTGGAGCCACTGGTGAGCGTGGGTCGTAGTGGGGTAGGCAATCAGTGTGCGGGGTCCTCCCATTACAGTGGCCCAGAGGGGTTCCTGCCTGCAGCTGCCCCCCGTTTCTCTATGGGGGTGCCCATCCTTCCCACCCCGCTGGCAGGAGAGCAAGGAGCTACTTTTTTTTCTGTTTTTTTTTTTTTCTGGTTTTAATTGAGGTAAACTTTACATATGGTAAAACCACTGATGTAAAAATGAACGGTTCAGTGGTGTTTAGTACATTCACAGGGTCATGCAACCCTCACCTCAATCCAGTTCCAGAACCTTTCATAACCCCCAAAACAGTCCTCTCCACATCAGCAGTCACCCCCTCCTCAGCCCCTGCAACCACTCACCCACTTTCTCTCTGGGGGGATTTACTGAACTGGTCAGTGTTGACTCCCCCACCCCCAGAAATGGGAGATTTCAGGTGCCTGACTCAGGTCCCAGGGGCTGTGACATGGAGCCTGCCTGCTGTACTGTGTTACCCAGATGGCTCTGAGCAGGACCTGCAAGGTCAGAGGGCTCAGGTGGTTGCTCTCCCAGGGCCCACCAGCTGCTGCCGCTGTTTACGGGGGTCATTATAAGAAGTGTTATATTTCTTCCCAAGCTCAGAAATGCTGGAAACTTCCAGGGACCGGGTGGTGCCTGGGTGTGCGGGTCTGCTCCTGGGAGACAAGATCATCACTCTGGATACCCCGCCCCAATTGTACCTTTCCTGGCAGGACCCTGGGCTCCATGTGGGCCTGTTTGGGAGGCCTTCTATTTGAGTATACTTGATTTACAACCTTGTGTTAGTTTCAGGTGTATAGCACAGTGACTCAGTTATTTATGTATTCTTTTTCATAACCTTTTCCATCATGGTTTATCATAGGACGCTGAACATATTTCCCTGTGCTATACAGCAGGACTTCACTGTTTATCAATTTTCTATATAGTAGTGTGTATCTGTTAATCCCAAACTCCTAGTTTATCCCTGTTTCTTTTCCCCCTTATGTCTGTGAGTCTGTTTCTGTTTCATAAATAAGTTCATTTGTGCCATATTCTAGATTCCACATAGAAGTGATATCATATGGTATTTGTCTTTCTCTGAGTTACATTGTTAAGCATAATGCCCTCCAAGTTCATCCATGTTGTTGCAAATGGCATTAGTTCATTCTTTTTCATGGCTGAATAATAGTCTACTGTATAGATGTACCACATCTTCTTTACTCACCCCTCTGTCGGTGGACATTTAGGTTGTTTCCATGTCTTGGTTATTGTAAATAGTGCTGCTATGAGCATTAGGGTACATTTATCTTTTCAAATTATAGTTTTCTCTGGATACATGCCCAGAAGTAGGATTGCTGGACCAATCTATGGGACCTCCGTATTCTCCATAGTGGCTGCACCAAAATTTGCGTACATGTGACTTTTTTTCCTGGTTCCCTCCATTGCTTTGGGTCTTTGTGAAAGGCTCTTATTTGACAACTTTTAAAAACCTCTAAAAACACCTCAACATAGCTTTTTCATGTTTATATATTCCCGTGTAGGCTCTGGCTAGTAGGAAAGGGGTTTCCCTCTGGGGTGGTGGAATGTTCTGGAACCAGGTAGGGGTGGGGGTTGTCCACCATTGAGGAGGACACTTCCTTTTATGTGAATCTCACCAAATACGAAAAATAGTCATGGGCAGTTTTATGATACGCTCATGTTTTTTCACTTGATGTCCTGATCCCGTGGTCCTTTCTCCTGCATTGACACTTAGAGTTCTTTCTGGAGGCAGAAACTGTGACCCTTCTCATAAAGAGCCTGCCGCCTGGCCTGAGGCACATGCTGTCTATGCCCTGTTTAGTAAGGTTTGTGTTAAATGAGGCCCGTGGGCCACTTGAGACCACATACTCCGACTTCCCTTTTGTGTGTGACTCCTGATGTCCTGCTTGTTCTTAACAGAAAGAAATGACTGCACGGATGTGCCACTGAGAACCCTTGGCCCTGTCGTCTCTGCGGCCACGCCCTGGGGGCCCGCTCCAGCTACGCGCCACATCTCCAGCACAGGGACCAGTGTTTTCTAGCCCAGCAGATTCTGGGCTGTCAGGGTTGCATCCTCTCTCTGGTTCCAAGGTGGCAGCAGCCATTAGTCCATTCCTCTCTGGGCCCCCGTCTCCTCAGCCGTCACATCACGGGGGAGATGGAATTTGAACTCTGTGATTCTCTGTGTTGTGAGCAACCAGGAAAACCCACTTTGTTTGGAAACCACTTGCATTTACGAGGAGGCTGGCCTACCTTGGCTCCATCTCCCGACCAGCCAACGTGCTCAGCCACGGGCTCCGGGACCCAGTCAGTGAGGCCATGACCACACAGCACTTCCCACCATGGCCCAGGTCTGATTTCGAGCGGTACAAGGGCCTGGCTTCTGTCCTCCCTGCGTCCTTCCCTAGCCACTTCTGTCGGCCGTTCCTCCAGGACCCTGGGCTTATCCATCAGTTTTGCAAGCCTGCGCCTGCATCCCATGTTTCTTGGGGCCCCTTCATGTCACATAAAATATTGAATTTTTATAGTTTCATTTACAACTGCTGTGAGATGTTACTAGGAGAAAAAAAAAAGCTTTTTACCTATAGGTAGTCCTCCCCTTGCCCTCTAGAAAAATGTCCCCTTTTTGCCATGAATAACAGGATGAATCTCCCAAGGAGCATCTCTACCTGGGTGTACAACCTTCGAATTTCACCTAATGCCTGCCAACATCATAGGGAAACACTTTGTGTGCCCCCCTGCCGCCCCCGCAGTGACTCTGGGACCAAACCCCAGCACCTCCTCCCTGCAGAAGTTGGAGCAGGGGCACTCCACCAGCCACCGCCCTGCCCACACGCAGCATCCTTGGTGGCCTTTGGCCATGGCAACCCTGCCTGCCCAGGCCATGCTGGTTCTGTTACCTCTAGGTGTCAGGGAGAGGGCCCGGCACCGACACCGAACAAGTGCAATTAACGAACACAACCTGGGCCTCAGTCCTTCAGAAGCCACAGGCCCTGTTCGTGGAGGCCTGGAAGGACTTTATGAAACCGGCCAATCGAATGTAGCTCCTTTTAAATGCAGAACCACAACCAAATGCTGTAACCACTGTGCCTCTCCAGGTCACCAGCCAGGTCAGGGAAGGCAGTGGGACTGTGAGGGGGAGTCCCCTGCCTGCCCTCTTGCACCTGTGTGTATTCCCACAGGGACATCAGAATAAACCAGTCTCCTTATCTGCAGCTGATGACTGTCATTTCTGTCTTCCTAGAGTTGGGACACATCACCACAATTGTCACCAGGGTGCCCTTGTCCAAGGGGCAAAGAAATCTTCGCCATCACAATGGTTTGTGGCCCCCCAGAGTGCCCAAGTAGATGATCAGACGCACAGCATATTGGTGGGACTAGAATTTCACAGGGTGCCCGGCATCTGGAAAACAGGCTGAGAAGGCACCCACCTCTCTCTCCTGCTTCTGCTTTCTCTTGCATTGCTCTAGACACTTAGCAAACGTGATTTTAACTGTTGTTGCTTCTCAGCCTTCTGGCTGAGATCAAGTGATTTTAACTGTTGCCTCTTTGCAACATAAAAAACACTGCAGAAAACTGGGTGCAGAAGAGTAGAGTGAGAGGGAACAAACAGAGGGGTGTTTTCTGTCTGTCCCATCCTAGGTATCCTGTGACCTTAGCACATGAGTTTACCCCAGACACCTCTTATATGCAAAATATGGGATTGTGTTAGTTACTCTCAGGGGTCCTGGAGCCAACAGAGCGGTCTTATAAGAAGCTCTGGATCCGGTGGATTCCAGCCTGGTGTGTGGCTTCCTTCCCCTAGAGGGCGTGCCGTCTCCATCACACGGAGAGAGTGTCTTCAGGGAACTCCTGGTCACTTGGAAATAAATACCTTCTAATGAAGCCTGTGTTTCCTTACCGCTGGATTTTGCAAATCCACCACAGAGACTTCCAGGACCAGTTTAAAGTCTGGGGAGCTATTACCGTTATTTGGAACAACAGCCCCCAAAGTTGTCCTTGTCCTGGTACCTGTGAACATGTCACCTCAGTGGGCAGAGGAGACTTTGCAGGAGGGGTTAAGTATAGGCCCCTGAGACGCTGGATTCCTGGGGTCCAAGTGTCATCACAGGGTCCTTATAAGAGGGAGGGGGAGGCTCAGAGGCAGAGAGGAGATGCTGTGCTGCTGGCTGTGAGGATGGAGGGAGAGGCCGTGAGCCAGGGATAAGGTGCCCCTAGAACCTGGGAAAGGCAGAAACCGGTGCTCCCTGGAGCCTCCAGAGGGACCAGCCCTGCCTACGTCTGGATTTAGCCCCTTGAGGCCCAAGTTGGACTTTGGACCTCCAGGACTTTAAGGAAATAAGTTAGTGTTATTTAAGCCAATGAGTTTGCTGACTTGTTAGGGCTGCCACGGGGAACTCATGCACCCTTTGGAAGGAAGTGTTTCGTACTCCAAACTCCTGGGACCCGCTGACTTGGGCTGCCTGGAATGCAAAGATTAGCCGGGCTAGCTTCTGAGCAACCCTTCCTTCCACAGGCCTGGTAATCACTCATCCTAACAGGATGGTTCACCCCAAAACTTGTTCAACCAGGAGAGGTTGTGGGAGGTAGGAAGCAGTGTCTGGAAGTCTGGCCAGACGGGGCAGTGGCAAAAGGAACCAGCTGTGTTTCTTGGACAAAACCAGCTGGCCCTGTTCTCTCCTGGCCACCACTGAGGCATGGCTATTGGAACTGAGTCATCACAATGGACATGACAAAGAAGGCAGAATAACCCAGAAAGGGTGTTCTTCCAGAAAGTGGAGAAGAAAGTGGGGTTACAGTAGGGCCATCTCGGAAGATCAGGAGCCCCCTTGCTACTGGAAACTTCCAAATTGGGGCAGGCATCGTCCTAGACTGGTGCTATTCAATATGGCAGCCACTAGCCTCAGGGGCTATTGAAATTCTAATTCAAGATCAGCTAAACAGAAAACATCCTCAGCTCTTTCACACTAGCCTTCATCACTGGTCTCCACGGCTGCCATTTTCTACTACGTTGGTTTTCGCTGCTTCTAGAAGTTGTTCCTGAGTCAGAACAAAGGTCAAGGTAGAGACAGTTTTTTTTTTTTTTTAAGGTAGAGACAATTTGAATCCTTTTCCAGTTCATAAAGATTGACAGTGAAGTCTGGAATTTGATAAGTGGTTTGCATCTTGACAGATGGAGGACTTGGAAAAGCCCAGACAGGGATTTCCCTGGCAGTCCACTGGTTAAGACGTTGCCTTCCAATGCAGAGAGTACAGGTTCCATCCCTGGTTGGGGAGCTAAGATCCCACATACCTCTCGGCCAAAAAAAAACAAAACATAAAACAGAAGAGGTATTGTAACAAATTCAGTAAAGACTTTAAGAATGGTACACATTAAAAAGAAAGAAAAGAAAAAGCCCAAATAGATTCTTTCCTCTGTTGAGCATGCATTTTATAGGTGCCTCCAAGTTAACAAAGCCCCTCTGGGTTGTTGCCACTATTTATGGCTACAATAATATTCCTCTAGTTGAATCTTTATAAACAGCCTCAGTTTTTTTTTCAATTTTATTTATTATTATTTTTTATCTTTTGGCCACGCCATGCAGTGTGTGGGATCTTGGTTTCCTGACCGGGGATGGAACCAGTGCCTCCTGCAATGGAAGCATGGCATCCTAACATAATTGTGTATTATGTGTTAATATATAATATGATTGTGTATTAATACAATATGATATATATTAATATAATAATATATGGTAATATATATTAACAGTGAACTTAATTTCACCAATTATCACTATATGTATACATATACATATATATATGACTAACCACTAGTAAAATGTAAAATAATATGCATCCTTTGAAATTAACTGGAGGGACAAAGACAGGAACAACAGCAGCTACAAAAGATAGAAAATACAATAAACAGCAAAGATGAATATTTTAAAGCATCACACGGGATTAGTTCATGGAAAACCAAGGCAGCAGTCATAGACCAGGCTTGGCTATATGGAGTCCCCACCTGGTTTTATACATAAGGTTTTATTGGTACCTGACCCTGCACGTTCACCTGTATATCACCTATATAACACAAGGGGCAGTTGTCACACAGAAGCTGAAAACAGCCA